ATATATTTGGTTGGTAAAGATAAATTATTATTGATGCGGAGTACAAGGGATACTACCCGTTGCAAGGACTAAATCACTTCAATGCATGCCCTAGTGAATCTCTGTCCCTCAAAAGTTACAGAACTCATCAAAAACTTTCTAAAAATTCATTTTAGCTCTTACCATTAATACGTTCCTACACAGCTTCCTTAGGAGTATATCTTATATCATTATTTTAGATCACGACTTCGATTGTGAAGTTTAAGTCTATGTAAATTAAGTTCTTGCCTGTCCTTTTCTCTTTGCTCATTAACCATTCTCCTTGATTCTTTCAATGCTGCTGTTGAAAGCTGGAAGTGGTACGTGAGCTCTTGGTTGGATGTCTGCAAAGCAAGGACTGGTTGGAGGCTCTAGTATATTCTGCTATCTATCTGAAGGTTTTCTATCTGATTTTTCTTTTTATTTATTTTAGTGATATACTATTCCATGCATTCTTAGGTCTACTTCTTATGCAGTGGATAAACACAGGGCAAATTCCTTGCTTTGAAGATGGGGGTCATCACCGGCCTAATAGACATGCTGAGATATCCAGGCATATATTTCGTGAACTGGAAAGGATTTCATGTAGGAAAGATACATCACCTCAGGTATTTAATTGTTTTTTTTTTTTTTTTTTCACAATTCAAGTTGATTTGGAAAGATCCCTACTTCAGGGTTTGCTAATAATTTATCTTAAAAGTTATTAAGATCTAATAGTCTGTGGCATCTATAGAGGAATTCATGTTGGCTATTATTTTGTGCATGACTTCTACGCTGATTATTTCGTTCCATTATTGTTTATTTGTTTTCCTTGATGTCTAAAATCAGATAGATCATCATGCTGCAAATTTTTATATTTATTTGAATTCTTGTGCCCAGTATTAATGCAGATTGATGAGTTTTTCATAGCTGATCTATTGTTTAACAAACTGTAATGATTTCTGTCTTTAGGGTATTATGGTTTGATTGTGATCAATTGCTGGACAGCATAGTTTAACTGTTCCAAGTCTTGTTTAAGGACCCATTTGAATATGTATGCAAAGTTTTAGAACCAATGGTGCAGTGAACCTTTTGCCTTGTGCTATTGCAGCTCTTTTAGCAATCCTCCATGCAACCTTGCTATTCCCATAATTGATTCATTATTCTTAAGTGGTGCAACACAGGGTGCACTTCTCTATCTTCCTCTGTAGAGGGGATGCTAGTGATTGTTAGAAGTTATTTCTGAGGCCTATTGTTGAAACTGCAATGACCATAGAAGGATGTTCTAAAACTTGTTGTTGAAAATGGTACTGGCCAGTTCATTACATCTTCCCTAGTGAAAATACAAATGTTAAAGTTTCTTATCAATCAATGTATCATAATTCTTCTGGTGGACCTCTCATAATACTAGAATAGTTTCCTTTGAATTTTAGAATAAAAAATGAAGACATGGCACTCTATAGATGTCTATAAGTAAGTAGCAATCTCAGTCAATATCGCAGAAAATATTTGTTTAGGATTTGCCTTGTGCAATTGCATTTGTGTCTCTAACAATGCCCATAGACTTAATGCATTCATTTATTCTTGTCATCCCAAACTGTTTAGTCCTTCAAATAACGGGCAATACACAAGGCATAGCTCTGCCCTTCCCGTCCCAAGGTTCAATCTATGATTTCTAACATGAAGACTTAAGCTCTTAACTATTGGAACATCCCCTAGGGAATCTTCAAATGTTTTCTTATCACCAATTACTTTGGCCTCAGCCATTCATGAATTAAATTAAATGACTAAAAGGGCATAAGACCAAAGTGGAAAATCTGAAAAGTGTTAGTATCCATTTCTTTTCCTACCAAAGTAGGGTTTTCAGAGGATTGATCTTAATATGGTCCAATCCCTAGCTTATAAGGTTTCATAACTCTCAATTATTAATTAATATTTCTCTTTATTTCTTTATAGCATACTTATGGTTCTCTTTTCCATATTCTTAGTTTTTTTTTCTCCCTGTTGATAGGAGGTGATTGTTATTCGCAAGATTCATCCATGTTTACCATCTTTTAAGGCGGAATTTACAGCTTCAGTCCCACTTACTCGAATTAGAGACATTGCTCATCGGGGTGATATCCCTCATGACCTTAAGGTTATATTTTATATGTATTAGGTGGATTATTTTCCTTGTAATTTAAATTTACTGATAATTGTAAATTAAATATTCCAGCAAGAAATCAAGCATACAATTCAGAACAAGCTTCACCGAAATGCTGGCCCAGAAGATTTAGTTGCTACAGAAGCAATGCTTGCAAGAATAACTAAGAGCCCTGGAGAATATAGTGAAGCATTTGTTGAGCAATTCAAGATATTCCATCAAGAACTCAAAGATTTCTTCAATGCTGGAAGGTTTATTTTTATCTTTAGAATTTTTTCCTTTTCTGTAGTTTACTTTTGTTTCCATGTATGCTTTTGGCTTCTAACACTGAAGTGTCAAGTTTTTTTTTTTTTTAATTGATTTTGGCCTCTTTTACTATCTTATAGAATTTTCAAAAGCTGTAAGACTTTCGGCTTTTTTAAAATTCCATATGGAATTAAAATAACATTTAACTCTATGTAATTTTAGGGGTTTACTGTTTGATGCTATGAGTTGATTCTTAAGATCATTATTGGTCCTATTAATTGGTTTCTAAATTTTTATAAATTTAGAAAGAGAGGTTTTCCCTAGTTTGTCCAGAAAATCATATCAAGGAGTGCAATCTTCATGAAAAGAAGTTTTTGGTTTTCATAACATGTGTAAAGGTTCTGAGATGTTTATAACACGTATGTCTTGGGAAAATCGAAGTCTGTAGTATGGTTGAGGACAATTGTGATCTGTGAGTTCTGTGAAAAATGAAAGTGGCTCATGGAGTTATAATGTGTTTGAGTTAATTCATAATGAAATATTATGCATGGTTTTTTTTTTTTTGGATGTGTGTTTTTAAGCTGTTTAAGTGACTAAAAACACTCCCTGGAATAAGAAGCCAAATAGTTATGACTAATTTCAAATGACAAGAGCAAGTAGTATATTCAACTTGAGTACTTTTGAATTTATTTGGTTACAAATTTATTTTTGATTTTCTCTTGTTGCAGCCTTGCTGAGCAGCTTGAGTCAATCAGAGATTCTTTAGATGATCTGGGGATTTCAGCTCTTATGATGTTTCTGGAGTGTAAAAAGGTGGATCACTAAATTTCAATCATGATTTCATTTGTTAAGACCTTGTAGTTAGAGCTTTTATCAGGTACTTAATGAAATCTGGAGTCCATGTGAAGATGAATACATTGCTAATTTGATTTCAAAGTGTCAAATTTGTTCAGTGTTCTCTAATTTCTCTTTGCAATGACAATAGCTACCTATGCATTTCCAGAATTTGGACGCTGCAGAGGAATTAAGTGGCATTTTGAAACTAATGAAAACCATGCAATCTTTGAGTGCATTGAGAGAAATAATTGTAAAGGGCCTTGAAAGTGGTCTTAGGAATGATGCTCCTGATGCTGCAATAGCAATGCGTCAAAAGGTGTGTCTATTTTTTAGCTATTGGTGAATAGAAGCTTCTAGTGGACAATATTCAACCTTGGATTTTTCTTCTTCTTTTTCCTTTATTTG